ATTGAGGGCGGCTCGGTTTCAAAATTTAGTTCCCGCCTCAGCGACGCGCGCATTCGTTATAAAAATGTGCACGGGCTTCACAGATTGAGGGCGACTCGTTTTCAAAATATAGCTATCGCCCCAGCGCCGCACACATTCGTTCTTAAGAAATTGTACGAGCTTCGCGGATTGAGGGCGGCACGCTTTCAAAACGTTGCTCTTGCCCTAGAGCCGCGCACATTCGTTATGAGCATTTGCACGAGCTTGGCGGATTGAGGGCGGCTCGGTTTCAAAATATAATTTTCGCCTGGGCGCCGCGCGCATTCGTTATACAAATTTGCAAGCGTTTCATTCACGGATTGAGGGCGGCCCGCTTTCAACATGCAGCGCTCGCATTAGCGCCGCGCACATTCGTTTTAAACATTTGCACGAGCTTCACGGTTTCAGATTGCGGTTCTCGCCTTAGCGCCGCGTACATTCGGTTTAAAATTTTGCACGAACTTCACGGATTGAGGACGGCTCGCGCGCGTTAGTTGTTTCCACCGACCTTCCTGTGGTGTTGGGTCCTCGTTTTGAAGAGACAACGCCCCGCGTTCTCCTCCTCCCGCCTCCTTTCTCCACCTCCTCCCTCCTCCCATCCCGTGCCTCTGGCCTCCGCGTGTATTTGTTTCGGCACACCCCTCACACGCTTCGCGGCCCCATATGGGAGTTCCACCGAAGGCCACGGTGGCAAAGTTCGCATGACGGCCACGCCCCAGTCTGGCGCACCCCTCACACGCTTCGTGGCCCCATAGAGAGCTCCGCCGAAGGCCCAAGTGGCAAAGTTCGCATGGCGGCCCCGCCCATTTCGGCGCACCCCTCGCGCTTCGTGGCCCCATTGGAAGCCCCACCGAAGGCCCCAATGGCAAAATTCGCATGGCGGCCCCGCTCAACTTCTGCACACCCTTCACACGCTCCGTGGCCCCATAGGGAGCTCCACCGAAGGCCACGGTGGCAAAGTTCGCATGGCGGCCACGCCTCATTCTGGCGCACCCCTCACACGCTTCGTGACCCCATAGGGAGCTTCACCGAAAGCCCCCAATGGCAAAGTTCGCATGGCGGCCCCGCCCCACTTCGGCGCACCCTTCATGCATTCCGTGGCCCCATAGGGAGCTCCACTGAAGGGCCCAGTGGCAAAGTTCGCATGCGTTCCATGGCCCCGTAGGGAGCTCCACCGAAGGCCCCCAATGGCAAAGTTCGCTTGGCGCCACCGCGCGAATTTCTGCACACCGCTCACATGCTTCGTGGCCCCACAAGGAACTCGACCCAAGGCCCCATTGGCAGGGTTCACATGGCGCCACGGCACACAGTTCGGCACACTCCTCACGCGTTTCGTGGCCCCACAGGGAGTTCCACCGAAGGCGGGGCTCACAACTGCGGAACGCACAATTGCATGTGGTTCGGCCCGTGTCTGGGATATTCTTTAAGTGCACAAGTTTCACGGATGTCTTGCGGCCGTAGTAATAGAAAAGGTAACCGTAAGAATGATGACTAATCGTAGCAACCGTCGGAGTAATAGAAGTAGCACTGAAAGTAACAGTAGTAGTAGAAGTAGAAGTAGTAGTAGTAGTAGTAGTAGTAGTAGTAGTAGTAGTAGTAGTAGTAGTAGTAGTAGTAGTAGTAGTAGTAGTACGAGTAGTAGTAGTGGTAGTAGTAGTAGTAGTAGTAAAAGTAGTAGTAGTAGTAGTAGTAGTAGTCGTCGTAGTAGTAGTAGTAGTAGTAGTAGTAGTAGTGGTAGTAGTAGTGGTGGTAGTAGTAGTAGTAATAATAATAATAGTAAGCGTAGTAGTAGCAATAACAATTACTACGACGGAAGAACCCCACATAAGAATCCTCTGGGCGAATCTGGAAAAGGCCATCACCGTCGTCCTCGTGGTTGGTGAGGCGTCCTGGCTGTCTCTTCTGCGTATATTTCCTCTCGCCTTGGCGCGGGCCCCCCTTCCACTCCTTACGTTGTCCCCATCCTCGCCCCCTGTTTGTTCCGCGCCCCGCCACCTCCTCCCCTTCCTGTTGCATGAGCGCGCATGTCGATGTTCCTCGGCGCCGTCGCCGCCACGGCCAGCACGTCGCGCAGCCGTTGGGACAACCCCGCGGGCCAGGCTGTCGGGACAACCCCGCGAGCCGCTGGCGCGCAAGACCAAGCCGTTGGGACAACCCCGCGGGCTTCGAGCGAGGCGCAGCCGCGCTCAGGCGGAAGGCAGCACGAAGCCCAGCTCTGCCGCGAGCTGCTTCGCCTCCGCCCTGGACAAAACCGCCTGCGACTTCCTCCATATTCAAGCTTGAGGAGCCCAAAAGTGACGACAGTTACAGGGTTCCGATGACCCGCTCGGATTACCAACATGATCTGCGGGCCCCATAGGGAGGGAGCTCCCGCCTGAGACTTCCTCACAATTCACTCAGAGACGAGGTTCCCGCCTGAGACTTCGTCCAAATTCAAGCTTGACGAGCCCAAAAGTGACGACAGTTACAAGGTTCCGATGACCCGCTCGGATTACCAACATGATCTGCGTGCCCCATAGGGAGGGGGCTCCCGCCTGAGCCTTCCTCCGAATTCATTCACAGACGATGCTCCCGCCTAAGACTTCCTGCAAATTCAGGCTTGACGAGCCCAAAAGTGACGACAGTTACAGGATTCCGATGACCCGCTCGGATTACCAACATGATCTGCGGGCCCCATAGGGAGGGGGCTCCCGCCTGAGACTTCCTCGCAGTTCACTCACAGACGAGGCTCCCGCCTGAGACTTCCTCCATATTCAGGCTTGAGGAGCCCAAAATTGACGACAGTTACAGGATTCCGATGACCCGCTCGGATTACCAACATGATCTGCGGGCCCCATAGGGAGGGGGCTCCCGCCTGAGACTTCCTCACAATTCACTCAGAGACGAGGCTCCCGCCTGAGACTTCCTCCAAATTCAGGCTTGACGAGCCCAAAAGTGACGACAGTTACAGGGTTCCGATGACCCGCTCGGATTACCAACATGATCTGCGGGCCCCATAGGGAGGGGGCTCCCGCCTGAGCCTTCCTCAGAATTCACTCACAGACGAGGCTCCCGCCTGAGACTTCCTCCAAATTCAGGCTTGAGGAGCCCAAAAGTGACGACAGTTACAAGTTTCCGATGACCCGCTCGGATTACCAACATGATCTGCGGGCCCCATAAGAAGGGAGCTCCCGCCTGAGACTTCCTCCCAATTCACTCACAGACGAGGCTCCCGCCTGAGACTTCCTCCATTTTCAGGCTTGACGAGCCCAAAAGTGACGACAGTTACAGGGTTCCGATGACCCGCTCGGATTACCAACATGATCTGCGGGCCCCATAGGGAGGGGCTCCCGCCTGAGACTTCCTCACAATTTACTCAACGATGATGAGGATGAGGATGATGAGTGGTGGTGAAGATGAGTGGTGAAGAGGATGATGATTGATTGTGAGTGGTGGTGGCGATGATGATGTTTGAATGAAGATGATGCCGATGCCGATGCTGATGATGATGATGATGTTCGTGAGCGTGTGAGAGAGTGCGAGTGATGATGATGATGAGTATGTGAGTGACTAAGCATGTGAGAGAGCATCATCGATGATGCTGATGAGGTTGATGATGAGAGAGTGTGAGTGAGTGTGAGTGGGTGTGTGTGTGTGTTCCTGTTCCTGCGCGGGGTGTCCAGAGAAAACAAGAACCCCACTTTGGATGTGGGGAATAACAGTAATCGTAGTAATAAGTAGTAGTAGTAGTAGTAGTAGTAGTAGTAAGAAGTAGTAGTAGTAGTAGTAGTAGTAGTAGTAGTAGTAGTAGTAGTAGTAGTAGTAGTAGTAGGTAGTAGTAGTAGTAGTAGTAGTAGTAGTCGTAGTAGTAGTAGTAGTGGTAATGGTAGTGGTAGTGGTAGTGGGAGTAGTAGTAGTAGTAGTAGTAGTAGTAGTAGTAGTAGTAGTAGTAGTAGTAGTAGTAGTAGTAGTAGTAGTCGTAGTAGTGGTAGTAGTAGTAGTAGTAGTAGTAGTAGTAGTAGTAGTAGTAGTAGTAGTAGTAGTAGTAGTAGTAGTAGTAGTAGTAGTAGTAGTAGTAGTAGTAGTAGTAGTAGTAGTAGTAGTTAGTAGTTAGTAGTAGTAGTAGTAGTAGTAGTAGTCGTAGTAGTAGTAGTTAGTAGTAGTAGTAGTAGTAGTAGTAGTAGTAGTAGTAGTAGTAGTAGTAGTAGTAGTAGTAGTAGTAGTAGTAGTAGTAGTAGTAGTAGTAGTAGTAGTAGTAGTAATAGTAGTAGTAGTAGTAGTAGTAGTTGTAGTAGTAGTAGTAGTAGTTGTAGTCGTACTAGTACTACTACCATTATTGAAAGTAGTGGTAGTATAAAAAACGGTCGTGATAGTAGAAGTAAATTCGCCGGCCCAACGGGCCAGAGGCGTGCTAAGATCTCCGGTAACTGGTTAACAATATTCTCGTTCGCGCGCGCGCGGGGCGGCCCCTGAGGGTCTCCGGGCGAAAAGTACCCTGGCAAGGTCCCGGCAGACCCGGGTCAGAGATGCCGGACCGGGCAATTTTTCGACACCCCTCACGAGGATCGTGGCCTCCGAGGGGGGAGCCGCGAACGACTACCCCCCCTCCCGCCCCAAGAGGCCCCCAAGAGCCCCCCAAGAGGCCCTGGGGTCCCCCAAGACGCCGCCAAGGAGCCCCAAGAGACTCCCAAGAGGTCCCCAAGAGGCCCTAAAGAGGGCTCCAGGGCTGGCGGAATGAGCGAAGCGATTAAATAATCGTGATGGTATTAGTAATAATAATCGCGATGATAATAATAATAATATTATTTCTCCGCCGACCTGGTCGGCGTGGGTGAGAGGCTTGTCCGTTCAAGTCGTCATCTACGTGATTCGTTGGTCGTCGTCTCTGTCGCCCCCTTTCGCTGCCTCCCCCTTTCCCTGGGCTCGTCGAAGCTCCCCCCTTTCCCAGGGACCTCCTCAACGCGCCAGCCAAAGCGAAGTGGAGCAACGTCGTACTTGACTACCTACCAGACCACCCCAACCCAACCCGAAGACCCGAATTTCAGGTTGGGGGGGGTACGGGTTCCATACGTGTTTTCTCGATGTTCCACGACCCCCCCCCACTGGAAATCGAGGATAAATCTAAGCCTTCGGGTTGGGTTGGGGTGGTTTGGTGGGTGGTGAGTAATTGAGTCGAAAGGAAGCCCCTTCCCCTCGATCATTCCCGGGCGCAGCCGACCACCGCGAACAGCGCCGCGACGTCGAACGCCCAGATGGTGCTCGCCTCCTGCCAGCCCAGGGGCTCGGCGAAGGCGCAGACGGCGAGCACCGTGCAGACGGCGTTGCCCAGCATGGTTCGGGGAGACGTAAGACCCGGGTACGGGGGACTCGGAAATCCCCGACGAGGTCGTCAAAAAAATGACGAGGCCGAGCCTGCATTTTGACGAGGCCTCCCGCTGCAGACATCCCACGAAACTCCTCCTCGTCAAAATCCGAGTCGCGGTCGTCAAAAAACGATGGCGAACCCGAGTCCTGGCAAACCCGGGTCTTACGCTCCCCCGAATGGTGGACAGCAGCAGCTCGGTGGAGGGCCGGCTGAAGAAGAAGAGGCCCGGGGCCCGTGCGGCGAAGATGAGCAGCTCGGCGGCGATCGACACCTGCAGCCAGATCGCGTTCTGCGCGTGCACCCCCCGGGGGTAGCCGGCTTCGGAGCCCAGGCCCTGCACGAGCCCCTTGTCCTGACGAACGAACAACACACACCCATACCCATAGGGAGGTCGTTGGGAGGAGGACTGTGTATGGGTATGGGTGCGGGTTGTCGGACCCTGGGGAACGCTCCCGTTCGAGCGGGGACCCCCATCCGACAATACGCACTCATAGCCCTCTCCGATCCCCCTATGGGTATGGGTGTGTGTGTGTTGTTGGTTCGTCATTGTCCATCATCAGGTAGAAGGTCATGGAGGCGAGGGACTGGGCGAGCCCCAAGGTGGCCGAGAAGCCGACGAGGTTGGCGACCGACGCGTGCTGCGGTTCCGCCGACGCCACCTGCCTGTCCTCGGCGACGGGAATCATCGTGATGTCGTTGAAGAGCGCTAGCAGGATGACGTACAGCGGGCTCAGGCTGCAATCGAACGCGTAGACGAGGACGCTGAGGAACAGCAGGATCTGGATCGTCGCTGCCAACCGGTAGGACACGTACGAGAAGAGCCGTGCAAAGATCTTCCGCGACTCCACCACGGCGCCGAAGACGGCGCTGAGCCCCTCGGCGGTCAGTATCATGGAGGCTGCGGCCTTCGCCGCGTCGGTGGCGTCGTCCACGGCGATGCCGCACTGCGCGGCCGACAGCGCGGGCGCGTCGTTCACGCCATCCCCGGTCATGCCCACCACGAGGCCGTAGGAGCGCTGCAGCGAGAGCACGCACTCGCGCTTGTCCCGCGGCAGGACCTGGGCGAAGCCGCCCGCGCTGCGGATGAGCTCATCGTGGGTGCGGGACCCGTCCCGGGTCGTCTCGCCGGGCAGGATGTTGGTGTCCATGCCCACCAAGCGGGCGGTCTCCTTCGCAATGTTCAGGTGGTCCCCCGTGATCATCTTCACCTCGACCCCAGCATCCAGCAGGCGGCCCACGGTGGTGGCCGTGTCGGCGCGCGGAGGGTCGATCATCGGGAGCAGGCCCAGGAAGTGCATGTCGCCGCCCTCGACGCCGATGGCCACGGCCAGGGTCTTGTAGCCCATCGCCGAGAGCTCCTCGTCCCTCCTGCCCACCGCCGCGCCGAAGTCTGGCCTGTTCGGGTCGTCCAGCTCCGCGCAGCGCCACTGGAGCGCCCCGTCGTCGGTGCCGCCCGCCGCGGTGTCCAGCACCTTCGTGGCGAGCCCCTTCGCCACCACGATCACCCGCCCGTCCGAGCGGCACCTGACACGAGCAACGGTGCGCTTCACCTCGCAGAGGCCAGCTCTGCGCCCGCACCGCTCCTGGCTGGGCCCCAGCCCCGGGCCCAAGATCGGTGCACACGCCCACCTGGTCCGACCAGGCAGAGCGCAGCGCAGATGCACCAGTCCCGGACCCAGGATCGGCCCAGCCGGGATCTGCGCTGGCGCACAGCCGGCGATCCCCGACCTCAGGATTGAACCCGGTAAGCTCGAGCTGCTCGTACGCGGCCTCGGCGGCCGCCAGCTCGCCGCCCCACGTTTCCTTCATCGCGTCAAACGCGCGGAGCACAGCGCCGTCGATGGCATCGTCCCGCTTGTCCTTGTTGGCGCTGAGCAGCGCCATGAGCAGCAGCGCCTGCTGCGTCCTCCGCTCGGAGGTCTTGGAAAATCCAGGGTGGTCGCTCAGCGAGCCGAGCACCTGGAAACCCGCATCGGACGCTGGCCATATCAGATCCAGGTTGATGCTCATCATTGCGGTAGTCAGCGTGCCGGTCTTGTCGGAGCAGAGCACGTCCATGGACGCGATGTCCTGCAACGCGGACATGCGCGTCACGATGGCATTGTGGCGGGTGGCCATGCGGTAAGCGCCTATCGCCATGGTCACCTGCAGCACGAGCGGCAACGCAACAGGCACCGCGGCAATCAAGACGGACAGGGCTGTGAGCAGCGTCTTGTTGCGCTCGTCTGGACGGAACCCATCGCGAGCGAACCCCTGGACGAGAACTAGACAGATGGCGTCGAGGACGGCCAGGGCGATGATGACGTTCACCACGACCATGATCCTCTGCTCGAAAACCGACACACTCGCCTGCGCACGATCGGCCAGGATGTCGGCCTGGCCCTGGCCGATCTCCGTTCGGACGCCTGTCTGCCGCACTATGCAGTAACTCTCGCCCGACTTGATCGTGGTCCCAGAGAGGATCATCTTGCCGTACTCGTCGGACGGGTACTTGCGGGGGATCGGCTCGCCTGTGAGGGCCGCCGTGTCCACGCTGAGCACGTCGCCTTCCAGCCACTCGACGTCTGCAGGCGTCATCGAACCCCCACGCAGGTGGATCACATCCCCTGGCACCAGTCTGGTCACCCCGAGGACAGTCGGCGCACCGTCGCGCAAGCATGTTACGGTAGACTCCATGGACTTGGTGAGGTCGTCTAGCGCGCGCTTTGCCTTCATCTCCTCGCGAAAACCGAGAGCGGCGTTCACGATCAGCATGGCGGCGATGACACCGAAGTCGGGCCAGTCCTGGGCAACGGCGGACAACAGGCAGCTCAACTCGAGCATGAGCGGCATGGTGCCAGTGAACTGCTTCAGTATGATTTTCAACAGAGGCGTCTCGGGCGTCGGAATCTCGTTCGGCCCCCACTCTTCGAGCAACCCTTCCGCACGCTCAGACGTGAGGCCCACACGTTCGTCCCATGTCGGGTTCGCTGAGGCCTTCATCGCTCCAGTGCGATCATCGGCCATCAGGCTGGCAAGCAGGGTGTTACTTGCCGACATTTGTCCCGAGCAGTGGATGTTTGGAGCCACCGCAAAGCTGTGTGATGGCCGTGGTCGTCAAATGGTGCTCGATTGGAAACGGCTGCATGGGTGCGCAAAGGAAACCATGGCCACAATGCCAAACAGCAGCTGTTGCCCGAGTCCGGCAGCGGTCGCTGTTGGGTAGGCAACCGCCTGTTTCGTGTGGGCACCGCCCGCGGAAACGCCGACAGCGGCTCCTGTTCAAAACGGACAGGACTTCCTGTCGGTCTTCGTCACATTTTTTCCGGCCTCGGGCGGCAAGTCAGCGTGGGATTGGATGCTCGTTCTGGGGGCCTTCCTGGAGCCACTCGCTCCACTCGTGCGTCGAAGCTGCGTCGAACGTCAGTCGATTTGGGTCGACCCTGAGTCGAACCTGAGTCGAACCTGAGTCGAACCTGAGTCGAACCTGAGTCGAACTTGAGTCGAACTGGGGTCGAACAGATCCGTTAGGTGGGCTCCAGGAAGGTCCCCGAAACGAGCATCGAAGTGGGAGACCGGAGCCCCATCGGATCGCGAGGTCGGCTCGGAGTAAAAAAAAAAAAAAGGATCGGGATCGCCAGCGAGTCGCACTGGACTCGCATCGCCGCGCCCCACTCTGGTGGGCCCCTGGCCGCTGCCAGGGAATCGAACGAGACCAAAATCGATAGGAAGGCACCAACTATACACCAACACCGATCCTGGCCCAGGATCACCCTGGGCCCAGGATCGGTGCATACGCCCTCCTGCCTTGCGCAAGAAGGCATGTACACCGATCCTGGGCCCAGGGTGGTCCTGGGCCAGGATCGGCGTTGGTGTATAGTTGGTGCCCTCCGAATCGAGTCTGAATCGCGGACCCTGCCAGCGAATCGGACCGCGTTGAATCGGAACGCAGGCGGCCCTGCCTGGGGCGCCCGAAAGCCTCAAACTGCTGTCCGTCTGGCCACCTTGTGGAATCAACACGCCAGCGGGCACGTCGACGAAAGAAGACTCGAGGATCGGGGATCGAGGTTTCTGTGGCTCGCGGATCGAGGATCCGAGGATCGAGGATCGAGGATTCGAGGACCCAGGATTCGAGGATCGAGGATCGAGGATCGAGGATCCGAGGATCCGAGGATCGAGCCTTTGAGGATCGAGGATTCGAGGATCGAGGATTCGAGGCTTCGAGGATCGAGGATTCGAGGATCCGAGGATCGAGGACTCGAGGATCGAGGACTCGAGGATCGAGGATCCGAGCATCCGAGGATCGAGGACTCGAGGATCCGAGGATCCGAGGAGCGAGGCTTCGAGGATCGAGGATCCGAAGATCGAGGATCCGAGGATCGAGGATCCGAGGTTTCCGCGGCTCGCGCGGATCGCGCGGATCGCGGCCTTCGTCGGGCTGCCCTCCGCGGGCGCCGGCGTGCTCAGCAGCGTCGACCGGCGGGGCTCGACGGGCGCGCGGGGCTTGGCCTCGGGCGCCGCGCTGCTCTGCTCTCCTGCTCGACTCTGTCCTGTTCTAACCTACCCGACGCTGACCCAGTCCTGCTCTACTCATCTGCTCTCTGATCTACTCTGCACTGCTCTACTCTACTCTACGTCTGGGTTTGACGACTTCGGGGACGATTGTTGGGGCGCCATTGGAATAGCCACAGGATTCCATCGGAATAACAGAGGAAGCCATGAGGATACAGAGTAAGCCATGCTATAGCAGAGGAAGCCACGCAGAGAGAGGGGGGGGGGAAATCATGCGGATAGTTTGACGCTTACAGGGGGTAACAGCGAACCAGTTCTCCATGTTTGAGCTAGGACTCCTATAAGCAAGCCTCTTGAAAGAGAAGTTCTCGTAAACCTATGACAAGATTGCGAGCTACCCGGGGCAGGAAGTACAAGTGTATGAGTGAACCATCGCGCGAACAGGATGCATAAAGCTAAATTGCAGAAACGTGGACGACTATTGCCAATTAGGCTCCGACGGATAGTGTAGGTCAGAGCCCTAGCCGTTGCACCTGAGGACCTTCAACTCTGAGGGATCTGGCTCGCTGTATGTTCTTATACCTTCGCTTAGCGGAGGAATGTTTCATGTCACTCACTCGAAAAACTGTGGGACTGCATGCGCGCCGAAGAAGGAGGAGGTAGGCAGGGGATCTTCCAGCAGGACACTGCTCCCGTCGAGATCCCTCTATACTTCATGCATACAACCACCGCGCCAGGAGACACGTACAGCTAACGGCCATGGCTTGAAGACGGAGGCACTTCACCTCCCACGGGCACAGATTCGTCAGGAACAGTGCGGTCCTTAGCGCCGATCCTGCGAGCTTCACTACCAGGCCGTGGCTGACGCTGTGGCGGCGGGGAAGGAGGTCCGGGCTCGGGCGGAAGAACCCTCTGGGCAACACGTCTGGGAGCCTCAAGCGCGCCAGCAGCTTCCGGGACGCCCTCGGACTCCCTGGAGCAAAACACTGGACAGGCTCTCTGGACCTGCTGACCACCCTGCTCCTGCTCCTGCTCCTGCTCCTGCTCCTGCTCCTTCCCCTCCCCCTCCCCCTCCCCCTCCCCTTCCCCCTCCCCTCCCCTCCCCCTCCCCCTCGCCCTCCCCCTCCCCCTCCCCTCCCCCTCCCCCTCAGGCGAAAGCGATCGAGCTCGCACCAGAGGAGGAGCACCCAGGACGAAATGACGACGGAGCCTCCCGTCCGACAGCAGCGGCCCAGCTCGAAGCAGGCGAACTAGCAGAGGAGTTCACACGCCCACGCTTGGCTTACGTTGGCTCGCTGACTAACAGCTGTGATGCTGGTGTGACGGCTGAGCTAAAGGCATTCGATGCTGGAACTGTTGCGGCACCTCGACCTCCCCACTCACCGTCCCCAGGCTCCCCATGACCAGACGGCGACAACGCGCCGCCCGTCCAGCTCGCAAGGCTGCCCTGAAACAGGGCACCTCCCCAGCCCAGACCGTGACGCGCGGAACGCGACTATCCCCGCTCACACAGGGAGCCTGGAGCTTCCAGGGACTTCCTGGGACCCGACCTTGCGAAACAAAAACAACATCGCGCAAAATCACCCCCTGAACCCTAGACCCCATACTTTTGCGGCATTTTCGAGATGGATCGATACGTGATGGTCCTAGGGCCCGAAACTGGTCGAAAAATCCTGGTGTTAGAAAAAGCAACGCTTCCCGCCGTCGCCCGGCCGCCGTTCCAAGCGGAGGGTGGGGTCTCTACCAAAGAAATCCCGGCGCCAGCCTCGTCCCACCTCCTTCCCTCTCTTCGCCGGCCTGTGCAAGTGTATCGTTGCTGCCGCCGCTGATGCAGTGCGTACCATGTGGGAAGGGGAAGTTGATAGTATTGAGCCCGTTGTTCCGGATAACATGGGGTAGGATGGTAGAGTACGTGATGGACTACTACGCTTCCTTGTCTCCTGGAATCCCTATTCTAGCACAGACGAGGGATGGGCTCCCGATTCTGTATTTCGGCGCACACGTCGTGTCCAACACGACCCCGAGTTAGATCGATTTCGACCTCTACACGCCCCCCCGACATCAGAGCAGATTACCTCTTCCACCTCACAGGTTCACGACGACATGGCGGAGGCTAGACCTACAGGCCCACCAGAGGCTGATGAGGAGCAGGAGTATGTAAATGCACGTGTTTTTCTTGTGACCCGCAGGGGGCATCTGACCCTCCCCTCCCGCCCGTCCCTGCACCGCTAACACCCGAAGTCTTGGAGCGCATCGCGCCAAACCGCGCGCAGGCACGTGTCAAAAGAGCTGCTAAACTCCAGGAAGCGAGACAGGCTCGTTTGCGTGAGGTAGCCCCGTGGACACATGATCCTAAGTTTGGCAGAGGCTTGTTCGGATAAGTTGCTGCCTGTCTGTGATCGAGAGAGGTTGGGGGTTGTAGGTCAATTATTGCGGTGAGTGGTGGAGTGGACGTTCAGAACAGTCAAATGTTGCATCTTGCCATCCAGCCGCTCGCAGCTGCTTTCTCTCTGTTTGTTTTCCCCCGCGCTTCCCCTGTCTTGTGATGTCGATGTCCTTCCTTCCATGTCGACGGCATGGTGATGTAGGACCGATGCCATTGTTTCTCTATGTTGGTGACGCTCTCCTTGATTGAATTACCCCAGACATTCCTTTTGGCCACACCGCTCCTCCGTGTGTTCAGTGCGCGCTGGCCGTGACTGGATTGTTGGTGATTGATGCAGACGGTGGCCATAGGTCGAGCGTGCGAATATCGTGCACTCCCGAAGGCCCATCACCTGTACAAGCCCACGCTACTGGTTTCAGGCCCCTCGCAGGCAATCACACTTGCTCCCCTACTTGATATGCCTCCTCTTGCCTCCCCCTTCTCCTGCAGCGTTGCATTGAGTCGTGTGCGCTGTATGACGTGATGGGTGGGGGGTGGTATGGGTATGGTCGGGCGGAGCATTTACACCTTGACGCCCGTGCTGCTAGATACCGCGTGTTTCTGCCAGCAGCTTGTGAATGCCGCATTGAGCTGACCGTCTCCTCGGCGAATCAGAGCGCAATCCAAAATCTCCTCGCTGGACTCGGAACCGACCTGGTTGGATTGAGCTTTGGTGTTTGAATTAGACTCGCGGGTCGTCCCATTTTCTTTGGCTCTGGCTGGGAGTGGCTTTAAGCGACGCCTGGCCCGTTTTCTTCCTCACTCTCTACTACTTTTCTCGGCCGTCCGCCGAGAGTGTCCTGGCCAGCGAAAGCCTGTCACCATCGATTCAATAAAAAAGAGGCTGGATCTCAGGGCTTAAAGAGCTGAAAGCTACCACCAGGAAAGCTTGTCGCCGTCGCCGCCGCCGCCGCCGTTGCCTTCGCCGTCGTCGTCACCGCCGTCGCCGCCGTCGCTGCCGCCACCGCCGTCGCCGTCGCCGTCGCCGCCGCCGCCGTCGTCGTCGTCGCCGCCGTCGCCGTCGCCGCCGCTGCCGCCGCCGTTGCCGTCGTCACCAGCGCAGCGGAGGCGCGGCGGCGCAGCGGCGGCGCGCCCGCGCCGCCTCCTGGGACGGCGCGGAGCCCGACAGCCAGGCCGCGGTCGGCGTTCGGGAGGCATCGTTGAGCCACATCTGCCCGCACGGCCCCTGGGAGGGTTAGGAAGCAGCTTCTCCGGCCGAAGGCGCGCCACGGGGGCAAACGTGAAGAGGGGCGGACCTTCTCGGAAGGCTCGAGGGCACCCCCGGCCTTCTGAGAAGTCTTCTGAGCCTTCCCCGAAGACACCGAAAGCTTCTCGGGAGTCGCGCTGGTTTCTGAGAAACCCCGCCGCCTTCTGAGACGGCCTTCGCCTTCTCGCTTCCCCCCCTCGCTCGCCGCCGATCCAGGGGAGTTTGAGAAATCAGCGGGCGCCAATAGGTCCAAAACACTCAGGCGCCAGTCAGCGAGCGAGCGGATTGAGGCACGATCCTTCAGGGGGACGAGCAATGACCTGAATTCAAAAACTATGATATCCTCGGACAGGCGGTGGACGCCCCTCTCTGGAGAGAGGAGCGCGCCAGGGGCGGCGCTGGAGGCGCAGCCAGGAGTCTCCAGCGCCGATCCGGGGAATCCGCGAGATGCTCCCCTCCTCCTTCGTCTCTTCCCGCTCCTCCTCCTCCTCCTCCTCCTCCTCCTCCTCCTCCTCCTCTTCCTCCTCCTCAGTCACATTCGTTTCCAACAGCATCATGATCGTAAACGACAACAGTACTACCACCGCCAACAACAACAAACACAACAACAACACCAACAACAACAACAACAACAACAACAACAACAACAACAACAACAACAGTAACAACAACAACAACAACAACAACAACAACAACAACAACAGCAACAGCAACAGCAACAGCAACAACAACAACAGTAACAACAACAACAACAACAACAACAACAACAACAACAACAACAACAACAACAGCAACAGCAACAGCAACAGCAACAGCAACAGCAACAGCAACAACACAAACAACAACAGCAGCAATAACAACAACAACAACAACAACAACAACAACAACAACAACGACAGCAACAGCAACAGCAACAGCAGCAACACAAACAACAACAGCAGCAATAACAACAACCACGGCTGCAGTAGCAGCCAGCAACACCATCCTCATAATCAGCAACACCATCCTCATCGCCACCACCATCATCATCATCATCAGCATCATCAGCATGATTAGCATCATCAGCAGCAGCAGCATCATCACCATCGGCATCGTCATCATTATCATCGTCGTCGTTGTCGTCATCATCATCATCATCAGAAGCAACATCATCGTCATCATCATAATCAGCATCAGCATCATCCTCATCATCATCAGCCTCATCCTCATCATCATCATCATCAGCAACAGCATCATCATCATCCGCATCATCCATTTCGTTGTCGTCATCATCATCAGCAGCAGCATCGTCACCACCACCTTCATCAGCATTCTCATCCTCATCATCATCAGAATCAGCATCAGCATCATCATCGTCATCAAGAACAATCATCGCCATCATCAGCATCATCACCATCGGCAGCAGCACAATAATCATCATCCACATTCACATTCACAGCATCATCGTCATCATCATCAGCATCATCAGTATCAGCAACATCATCGTCATCGTCACAGTGATCGTCAACATCATCAACATCAGCATCATCCACATCATCATCAACATCATCAGCATCATCACCATCCCTCATGCTCCTCAGCCTCATCCCCCTCCTCCTCCTCCTCCCCAAGCATCATCATCAGCAGCACCAGCATCAGCATCGTCAGTTGCGGCATCAGCATGCTCATCATCATCATCATCATCAGCATCATCATCATCATCATCATCATCATCATCATCATCATCATCATCATCGCCATCATCATCGGCATCCTCATCACCATCATACGCATCAACATCGTCATCGGCATGATGATCAAAATGATTGTCGTCAGAATCGTCGTCATCATCATCAACATCATCAGCATGATCAGCACCATCGTCATTATCAGCAGCAGCATCATCATCAACATCATCATCATCATCATCATCATCTTCATCTTCATCCACATCCTTATCCACATCCTCATCCTCATCCCAATCCTCATCCGCCTCCGCCTCCGCCTCCACATCCTCCGCAGCCTCCTTGAGATTTTCCTTCCAGGAAGCTCCTCCTCGTCTGCCGACAAGGCCTGTGGGTAGGGCGAGCTGGGCGTTTCGCCTGGGACTCCCCCCCCCGCCGATGACCCCGAAGACGAAAACTTCCATCGGAAAGAGACGGGGAACGTTTCAAAATGTGGTTTTCGCCTAGCGCCACGCGCACTCGTCATATAAGCGTCCGCCAATCGCACGAATGGACGGACATTGCTTTTCAGAATGTGGCACTCGCATTAGCACTGCGAACATTCGCCTCAAAAGTTTCCCACCATTAAAAGGATGAACGCGGTCCTTTTCAAAATGTGGTTCTCGCCGCAGCGCCACCTCCATTGGTCATCTAAGCTTCCGCCAACTACACGAATGGAGGGAGATCCCACCAGCCCTTTGGGCGTGAGTGGTTTAGGGAGCCCGCTCTGTTCTCAACCCCCCTTCTTCCCCTTCGGGGAGGGGTTTACCCCTCCCCCTACCCCCTCCCCCTGGACCTGGAGAGGGGGTTCCGCGGGTCGTCAAGGGTGTCAGTTTCGACTCCTGGGAGTGCCAAAAAACAACACCCCTCACGAGGATTCTGGCCCCGACGGGGGGGAGCCGAAAAAACCCTCTCCTCTTCTTTGAAGCCAAAATCATTGATGTTCCTACGGTTTGGGTCACATGTTGGCCTTCTGAGGGGGCAGCGCTCATTACAGCTCATAGCAAAATCATTGATTTTACTAAGGTTTTGGGCTCATTTGTCCTTCTCAGGGGGCAGCGCTCAGTTGCGCATCTGAGGAGGTCGCAAGAGGCCCCAAGATGGCCCCAAGAGGCCCCCAGGAGGCTCCCAAGAGGCCTCCAAGAGGCCCCCAAGAGGCCCCCAAGAGGCCCCAAGAGGCCCCCAAGAGGCCCCCAAGAGGCCCCCAAGAGGCCCCAAGAGCCCCCAAGAGGCCCCCAAGAGGCCCCCAAGAGGCCCCCAAGAGGCCCCCAAGAGGCCCCAAGAGGCTCCAAGAGGCCCCCAAGAGGCCCCACGAGGAGCCCGAACGACTCACACCAGACGAGGGGCCCGAACGACTCACACCACGAAGAGCCCGAACGACTCACACCACAAGGAGGGGCCCGAACGACTCACACCAGGACGAGGCGCCCGAACGACTCACACCACGAGGAGCCCGAACGACTCACACCACGACGCGGGCCCCGAACGACTCACACCACGAGGAGCCCGAACGAGTCACACCAGGAGGAGGGGCCCGAACGACTCACACCAGGACGAGGGGCCCGAACAACTCACACCACGAGAAGCCCGAACGACTCACACCAGGACGAAGAGCCCGAACGACTCACACCACGAAGAGCCCGAACGACTCACACCAGGAAGAAGGGCCCGAACGACTCACACCAGGACGAGAAACCCCAAACGACTCAAACCACGAGGAGCGCTTTCTCTCCCTCCTCCTCCGCCTCGTCCTTCTCCCGCTCCCCCCACAAGGAGGATGTACAAGGAGGCGGGAGGAAGGAGGAACAGGGGAGATATGCGGGGCCAAGCGGACACACGCCTGAAAAACACGACTGTCGGCATGCTTCGCAAGAGTTGCTGCTGTGAGATGGGCTGGTGGGGATACGCGAAGCGTAAAGAATTCCTTTTTAAACATGTGGTTGTCGCATTAGCGCTGCGAACATTCGCCTCCGACGTTTCCAAAACTTGCAAACATGGGCGCGGCCCTGTTGAAATTTGTGGCTCATGACTAAGCACCACGCAAGTTCGTCATAACGTGTCCGCCAATTGCACGAAAGGGGGGGGATCCCTTGCCTCTGAAGTTCCCAACAGGTACACGCATGGGCGCTGTTATTTTCAAAATATGGCTCTCGCCTCAGCGCCGAGCACTCTCGTCCCAAAGGCTTCCACCAGCTACGCAGATGGAAGGCGGCTCCTTTTCAAAATGTAGCTCGAGCCTTAGTGCCGCACACAGTCGTTTTCAGAGCTTGAACCAGTTACACGGATGGAGGGGGTCGCTTTCAAAATGTGGCTCTCGCCTCAGCGCTAGGCACGTTCGTTTCAAGAACTCACCCCGACTACACGGATAGAGCCGATCCGAATTCAAGATGACGCACTCGCCTGAAACTGCCTCAACAGAAATGCCAGAAATGCAAACTGTGTCATTATTAATGCAATTTGAGTTATGCACGTGGGGCGAGAAATGCCGCAAAAAAAAACTGTTCGCGGTATGGAGTGCGGCTCACTTTCAAAGTTTGACTCTCGCCTGACACGTCGTAAGATCGTTGAGCAACAACTAAACGGATGCAGGGCGGTTCCTTTTTCAAAACCAAGCTCCCACCAGAATTGCGGGACCATGGGGCGCTTGTCTTTCATTGACGGCGCTTCCCGCCGTGAAAACAAATTCCTGCATGGACTGATGAGGGAAAGACTTAAGACCGGTTGCATTGCAGTTCCCTAGATACATATTGGATCGACTCTGGTCCTCATGTTCCGCCGCTTCGTCCTGCTGTTCTTCCTCATTATGTTCCTTTTCTTCCTCCTTCTCCCTTCTTTCAATCCTTCCATGCCCTCCGCCCTCCCCCTCGTTCTCCCCCACGTCCTACCCCTCATCATCATCATCATCATCATCATCATCATCATCATCATCATCATCATAATCATCATCATCATCATCATCATCATCATCATCATCATCATCATCATCATCATCATCATCATCATCATCATCATCATCATCATCATCATCATCATCATCATCATCATCATCCTCATCATCCTCATCTCATCATCATCCTCATCATCCTCATCATCTCATCATCATCATCATATCATCATCATCATCATCATCATCATCATCATCATCATCATCATCATCATCATCATCATCATCATCATCATCATCATCATCATCATCATCATCATCATCATCATCATCATCATGAGCAGCAGCATCATCATCATCATCATCATCATCATCATAATCATCATCATCATCATCAGCATCATCATCATCATCATCATCACCATCATCATCAGTTGCCATCATTATTATCATCATCACCATCATCATCACAATCAGAATCACAATCATCAGAATCATCATCATCATCATCATCATCATCATCATCATCATCGGCATCATCATCAACCTCATCATCATCATCAGCATCATCTGCATCATCATCAGTACCATCATAATCAATACCAGTATCATCATCAGCATCATCATCACAACAATAATCATGTTCACCATCATCATCATCAGCATCAGCAACAGCAGCAGTATCACCAACATCAGCAGTATCATCATCATCATCATCATCATCATCATCAGCAGCAGCAGCATCATGGTCATCATCAGCAGCAGCATCATCAGCATCATCGGCATCAGCATCAGCAGCAGTAGCATTAGCATCAGCATCATCATCATCATCATCATCATCATCATCATCATCATCATCATCATCATCATCGTCATTAACACCATCTGCATCGCCAGCTTGCTACTCCCTATCTTCCTGCTCCCCCACCTATTCCTTCCCCTCTCCGAAGATCACTTCGACCGACGAAGATCGACGACGGAGACGACGACGACAACGACGACGACGACGACGATCACGCAATCGACGACGACGACGACGACGATCGACGATCGACGACGACGACGATCGACAGCGGCAGCCTCTGCACGATGGCCCGGGCCGCCGAGGGCCGCCGAGGACCCCTGGTTGGCGGCCAATTGGCGGCGGCGGCGCCTCCGTCGCCGCCGGCGGCGGCTGCGGCAGCGGCGGCCGCGGCGACGACGGCAGCGACGACGACGACGAGGGCGACGACGACGACAACAACGACGACGACGGCGACGACAACGACCACAGCGACGACGACGACGACGACGGCGACGACGGGGACGACAACGACCACCGCGACGACGACGGCGACGACGACGACGACGACGACGGCGACGACGACGACGACGACGGCGACGGCGACGACGACGACGACGGCGACGGCGACGACGACGACAACAACGACGGCGACGACGACGACAACGACCACAGCGACGACGACGACGACGGCGGCGACAGCGACGACTACGACCACGGCGACGACGACGACGACGACAGCGACGACGACGACGGCGACGACGACGGCGACGACGACGACGACGGGGACGGCGACGACGACGACGACAACGACGACAACGGCGACGGCGGCGGCGGCGGCGGTGACGACCTCCGTCGCACTGTCCGTGGCGGCCGCAGGCCCGCACCCCTCGCTGGACGGCGAGGAGCCCATGCGGCGGCCGGGGCCCCTGCGCTCCGCCACTGAGAACGTCGTCGGACGTCGTCGTCGCCGTTGTCGCTGGACGTCATCGTCGCCGCCGTCGTGGTCGTCCGTCGTCGTGGTCTTCTTCGGACGTCGCTGTCGTCCTCGTCATCGTCGCACATCGTCGTTGGTCTTCGTCGACGTCGGAATGGCGAGGAAAAGAAAGCGGGGAGGGAGGGAGGAGAGGGCGGGAGGGAGAGAGAGAGAGAGAGAAAAAGAGAGAGACAGACAGACAGACATACAGACAGCCCGTAGTGCAGAAGAGTCTGCCCCAGCATGACGCCGGGCCGCGCGCAACTGTCACTTGTGCTCTCAAGTGTCTTGCCAACGTATTCGCTGCCTTCCATCGCGTCGCTGGGCATGCACGTGGTGCCATAGGTGGCAATCCAGTAGCCTCGTCCCCCACCGCCCGCTACAGGCCGACTGTATTTTATCGTGGAGACGCCTCTAGGTATCTTGAAAACCATTAACCCAATCACGCACGCCGCATTTATGAGCTAGGTCCAACGCTGCAAAAGTAGAACGTTCGATACAATCCACCCAATCTTCGTCAGGGAGCCGCCGTGCACCAATAATCATTATGAGCATCTGTCGTTGCGCACTCTGCAGTTGTCGAAGCCGTTCCGATGTGACCACCCATGCACCAGAGCCATACATCACACACGGCGCAATGATTGCTTGGAACAGCCGCGTGCGGTGCTGCATCTTGATGCGCCGGCTGCAGAACATGAACTTGTGCTTTGCGAGCGCTGCCCAACCACACCCAATCCTGCACTGCAACTCCGTCTCAAGATAAAAAACCAAAGAAAGCTGGCGCCCCAAGTATTTCTCAGACTGACCGCGTTGAAGCACTCGCACATTATTGCCCCTGTACCGCAGAGTGGCCAGCCTGTATTCGACGCTCGTCCGAATTACTGTTTCGCCCATGTGCACTCTGAGACCGTATCTGCGCGCTTCCTTCTCCAGATCAACAATCATTATTGACGAATCTCTGGCAGAGGATGCCACCAGAAACAAATCATCAGCGAATCTGAAGTTCGTGAGGGGGTCGCCGGGGCTGCCAATGACCATGCCGTAAGACGATCCAAAGCGTTTGTGGTTCAGGCTAGCCCAACGCGCATTCAGCTTCCGAAAAACTGCCCCCATGACGACGACAAGTAATAAAGAACTAATAGGGTCACCTTGCTTAACACCGCGGAGGATGTCAAACATTCTGCTGTTGGTGCCTGCCGTGACGCACGCCGACCCTTTGGCATACAATCGTTTGAGCACGTTGATAGATTCAAAAAACCTCGGTTAAACACGGATTTCAAAACCGAATTTCCCGAACACAACAAAAAAATGTCGCAACAAGAACGATCAAAAAACCTGCACCCACACTTGTGCGACCCCTTGAGACAGTCATCGGTTTTCACGATTGTCACAACATGCTACCAAACGGGCCTCTCGCGCGCGCGTGTCTGAATCGCGACAACACCCTTTTTTGCGCGCGTGCTGTCGCAAGAATTTGTTTTGCAAAAACGGGGCCACATGTACACGGGCGCGTTCTCGCGCGCGCATGCCAGGATATTTTTCTGTAGCAATAACAACGGGGGCTCGTAGTGATCTCAACACCGAACGTCCCGAAAACAAAGATTTAAATATACATATATATATATACACATACATAGACACGTGGCTTGCAACATTAATTGTCAAACGACGCCTGCGCTCGCGAATGGTTCGGAATTCCATCGGTTTTCAACATGTTCATTCAACGTTGCCACACCGGTTTCTCGCGCCGCATGTCGAAATCATTCGAACGCCCTTCCGCGCGTGCTGGGGGGGCACGATCCGTCAAAAAATACTACGCGGTCCACTCTCGCGCGTCGTCCGCGCGCGCGTGCCGAACACATTCCAAAACCTCCATCACCGACGCGAGGACGCTGTCATCGTCGTCGGCGTGATCAGCACCGGCGCCATCACTGAACGTGCGACCGTCGTCAGCAAAGCTAATGTCATCATCTTGCCTACAATTGTCGACGTCGCCAAGATACCGCGCACGACCAAATCGCCGACTCGCACTGAAGTGCCCGCGGTCAGCGCCACAGCGGCAGCGTCGGAAAAACTAGTTGGCAGCTGCGCTCGCGAGCATGCGCGCTAGCGCGGCCGCGAGGATGCGCCAGGCAGCGCCGATAAGTCATCGCAATCGCCGACGCATGGGCTGTGCAAACCAAGTTGTGGGTGGGTGGGTGGGATGATCGCGCGAGCAGCGGGGTTGACAACTTCCAGTTCGGCAAGGCGAATTGCATCACGTAGCCGTTTTTTTCCCGAAGATGTTTAGGATTTGCCTCCCCCGGGACTTTCCACTTTTGTATTGCAAGTTCCGTATGACTCTGCCCCAACCGTCCAAACGAAAAATAAATTCGCACCATCGTAGGCAGTCCCTTATCAATCCCCCCATCATACTCTGCAAAAAACCATATGCGCACCCACCTGCTTATCAATATCATCCATGTTAAGAAACCTGTTGCCACAACCCCCATCAAAAACGGGTCGTCGCGCGCGCATGCCAAAATCATTCAAAGTCCGTGGGTTTCGTGGAAAGGAATAGAAAAAAATAATGAACAAAAAAACGCACGCGTTCTTGCGAATTCTTCTGGGCGTCATGGTATTTCCACCTTGCCATCAAATGTTATAAAACGTGCCTCTCGCGCGCACGTGACGAAATCGTTCGAACGCTCTTTGCGCGCGCTGTGTCGGAGGAGTCCGTTTGCAAAAGACAGGGCGAAGTGCACGCGAGCGCGTCGTCGCGCGCATGCTGAAATGCGTCAGCAACCTTATGTGTCGCACGGATTGTAACATCGAGTGTCCCAAAAAAACAAGCATATGTAGATAGACACGCGGATTTCAAAATCAGCTTTCAAAACTATTGTCTGGGTTCGCGGTCTTGCGAATGTTTATAGAAACGCAACAAGTTATCAACATTACATCAAGCTCGACCAAAGGGGCCTCTCGCGCCGCATGTCGAAATCGTTCGAATACCCTAAGGACCATGCGGGCCACTGAGGCGCGCCGTCCGCGCGCGCATGTCGAACTCCACCCAAAACCTTCTGACGCGAAGACATCGTCATCGCCCATCGGAATGATCAGCATCGGCGCCGTCACTGGCCTTGCCGTCGTCATCGTCATCACCGTCACCACCCTCGTTACTGCCATCATCGTGTCTACCATTGTCGACGTCGCCAAGATACCGCGCCTTTCCACGTCACCGCCTCGCACTGAAGTGCCCGCTGGAGAGTACCCGGCGGTCAGCGCCACCGCGGCCGCGTCGGTCGCGCCAAACTAGCTGGCCGCTTCTGCGCGCGAGCATGCGCGGGCTAGCGCGGCCGCAGAAATACAACCGTCAACACCACGCACTGACCGCAATCGCCGCCGCATGGGTTTTGCAAACCAAGTTGCGGGCGGGTGGGTGGAATGATTGCGCGAGGAGTGGAGTTGACAACTCCACCTTGTTCAAGATTAGTTGCACAGCGCAGATTGCACAACGTAGACTGCACAACATATGTTGTTAGAAACACACTGCTTGGGATCCACGCTGACTAACATCAGCTTCAACTCCGACACAACAACTTCTTTCACAACGCGGGCCCCTGGAAATCTTGACCCCTTCCCCTGGAACCCGACTCAGCGAGGCGAGGATACATCCACATCCACCGCCTGTGGAACCGACGTCCTGTGACCCCAGCGGACGGTGGCATTGCATACACTGGCGCCCCAGGGGGCCCGAATATCTCCGCCATCGCCTACCGCCTGTCGAGGTCTCCGAAAACCGATCCTCTGGGCGGTGGCTCTGTAGAGATACCCGGGAGCCCGACCTTTGCCCAGCCCGTTCTCTGACAACCCAGACGGAGCCCGAGGGCAGCGGGGGAAGGAGGGACGTCGTCGTCATCATCGTCCGTCGTTGACCCAGTCGTCGGTCGTCGTCGTCGTCATCGTCTGTTCCCACACGCATCGGGAGCGCCCCAGATCGGCGGCACTGGACGGAGGCCAATACAATACCCGGGAACCCGACCTTTGCCCAGCCCGTTCTCTGACAACCCAGACGGAACCCGACGGCGGCCCACAGACTCCGAGCCCCGAGCCCGCACCGGCCAGTCTGGCCGCGCGCCGACGCGCGGCCTGTACGAGGCACGGGTCGGTCCTCGAACCTCCACGCCACGAGGCCCCTCGCCCACTTAGTCACTCCTCCTCCTCCTCCTCCTCCTCCTCCTCCTCCTCCTCCTCCTCCTCCTCCTCCTCCTCCTCCTCCTCCTCCTCCTCCTCCTCCTCCTCCTCCTCGGAAGCTCGGCGAGGGCTCCTAAAACCGTGGCTGCTAAAACGGCCCTCCCGGAAGGAAAAAAACAACTTCCCGGAATGAGGCGCGGCACGCGAAACAGTCAACGGGCTTCTTCCCGGAAGGACGAAGACGACTTCCCGGAGGTCGATTTTAGCAGCCACGGATTGAGCAGCCCTTGCCCGGCTTCCGATCCTCCTCCCCTTCCCATCCTCCTCCTCCTCCTCCTCCTCCTCCTCCTCCTCGTGCTCCTCTGCCTCCTCCTCCTCCTCCTCGACACGCGGGGCCGGGTCTTCGTCCTATTCTCGTCTCTCACTGTGATTATTATTTGTATGGTAAATGTTCGTCTTATGGTTCTTGATCGTGTTACTGGCGTTCTTGTTATGAGTATCATTCGTGCTGAAACTATGACTACTGATACGAATGGACATGGTACTGTTGTTGTTACTCGTTATGTTAGTATAAAGAATAGTATTACGAGTCTTAGTTCTTGCATGCTTCTTCTTAGTACCAATATTACTGTTAGTACTCAGCTCACAATGATTATCCTTCTTCGCAATATGACTGTGAGTACTGCTCTTCTTAAGAACCGTTTTCTCATTGTTCGCATAATGAGAACTATCGAACTTCTTATTATCATGATTACTCCGCCTCCTCCGTGTACCCTCTTCCCTTTGCGTCAAAACCCAGGTCTCGGGCGGCCGCTCGGGACGATTCTGGCACCCCTGAACGCTCTCGACGAGGCGCAAGAGATGGAGATCATCCCGAGGCAGGACAGCCTCTGGGAGTCGAGGCCGGTCTCGAAGACCTCCCCGCCCGCCATCCTCCGTTCTGCAGGGGTGCACTCTGACCGAAAAATGTTACGGGAAATCCAGCCGTGGAGACGAGGCGCCCCAGGAGGCACAGGTCGGGGGCGCGCAGACACGGATTAGCGACCCACGGACCCGGCGCGCGGTCACCAAATCCATGGATCGGGGGAAATGCCCTCCCCAAAATGCGGCTGGTGCCGCCTCGCTCGGCGGCGGAAATCCGCGATTCCGCAGAGAAAAGCGGGAGCCATCGCTAATCCACGCCCCCTTGATCCATGTTTGCGATCGCATGAAGAGGAAGGCCCCCCGAGCGCCCAACGCCTCGAACCTTGAAGTTCGCGTTCGTTCCTAGACCCTCCTCCCCAGACATGTGCGATGTCTTCGTTTTTTCCATACAGGGTTGCTGGAGGTTCCGACCATTTCCCCAGGGCCAGTTACTCATCCTGGAGCCCGGCGACGGCCCCCAAGGCCGAAAACGGTCCAAAACCTCAGATGGCGATTTCGTTCACGACGCGAGCACTCCTGGGTCGTGGTCCCCCTCCCCAGGCTCAGGGGCAACGCTCGGGGGGGAGCCAGGTCAAGGGGGGGAAACCTCGAGCGCGAATCGGCGGGATACCGCCGATAGACTGGCGATAATCGGGCCCCCGATTCCGACTCCGCACGGTCCTGGGAGGAGCGAGCTATCGGGCCCCATGTCGGCGAGGAATCGGCGACGGGGGCAACCCCCCCGGAGCTTCTCCTCCCCCCGCGCTGCCCGTTGGTGCTCGACCCCGAGCTCCGCTCGCTGGCGGCCGCCTGGAGCGACCCCAGCACCCCAAAGACGCCCCCGACGAGGCGCAGCTGCTGGGGAGCATGCCGAAGCTCGGAAAACGAGGAGAATCTACGAAAGTACTGAAACCGGGTCCAAAACCTACAACCTCTCCAGCATGCCGAAGCTCGGAAAACGAGGAGAATCTACGAAAGTACTAAAACCTGGTCCAAAACTCACAGCCATCCTCCCAACGTGGTCCCTGACAGGGACAGGCGACCACCCCGCCGACCAGCCGTAACTGAGGGAGGTGTGGTCCTTACCCCCCTGGGGGAACCCATCGCCTCGACGATCTCTCGAGAGGAGTGTCGAAATCGATGGGTCCCCGAGGGGGGTAAGGACCACAGCTCCCCCAATTGTGGCTGGCATGCCCCGTGCGCGGCCCGCCCGGCCGACCGGGCAGCCGCGCAGGCGCCCACGGGGCGCCAGGGGGGGCGACGAAGCCAAAATGGCTGCGCGGCGGCACGCCGAGGTGGCGCAGAGCGCGCCGCCGTCGCGGCTGCCGTCCGTCGTCGTCGTCGGCGTCGTCGTCGTCGTCGTCGGCGTCGTCGTCGGCGGCGTCGTCGTCGTCGTCGTCGTCGGGGGTCGTCGTCGTCGGAGGTCTTCGTCGTTGTCGTCGGCGTCGTCGTCGGCGTCGTCGTCGTCGGCGTCGTCGTCGTCGGGAGGCGGCCACGAGCCGGCCACGGGTGGCGACGCGGCAAAACCTCGGCGGACCCATCCTCCTCTACTCCTCAGCGGCACGAGCAAGCACCCGTGAGCGGAAGCACTGCTGGGGGAGCCCGCGCAATTACGCTGATGGAGGGCGGCTCCTTCTCCGCATTGGCCTCTCGCGCAGATGTCCTGTGATCCTACGGGCAGAACTGGGAAGCTGTGCAACAGCTACACGGATGCAGGGCGGCTCCCGCTCGGAGCGGGGCTCTCGCGGGGTACACCCTGCGAAATGCTTAAGAAATCATGGGTTAAGAAATTCATAGTCTCAGAAATGGAATAAAACCCAGAACTTCTATCAAAATCTTGGGATTTATATTGAAAAGTTAAGAATAATCGAGACTCTGGACGAAAACTGAGGTTTTCTTAAGCATCGCCTAAGGCGTACGCCGTGGAGCTGGAGCACCACCGTGTCGTGTTCCTCGCAGCTCGAAGGGCGGAGGGCCCCACCCTCTCAAAACCACGGGGCTCCCACGTGGAAGGCCACGGGGCGCTCGCCCTCCAAGGGAGCGCTCTTTATTTCGCAGCGAGGAAGGATGACTGCAGGAGTCGGTGGGAAGGGGGCGTGCGACGGGGCGGCGTATACCGGCACCATTGATACATGTTGGCTCTACCCTCGGTCCTCCTCGTCCTCCTCCTCCTCCTCCTCCCTCTCCTGCTCCTGATCTCCCTCACCAGCAGCAGCAGCAACATCGCCGTCATCATCATCAGCGTCATCAGCATCATCAGCGTCATCGGCATCATCCGCATCATCATCGTCGTCATCGTCATCATCAGCATCATCAGCATCATCATCACCATCATCATCATCATCATCATCATCATCATCATCATCATCATCATCATCATCGTCATCATCACCATCACCATCATCATCATCATCATCATCATCATCAGCAGCAGCAGCAGCATCATCATAATAATCATCATCATCCTCATCATTGTCATCAATCGTCGTCGTCGCCGTCGTCATCAGAAGCAGCAGCATCATCGCAGTATTTTCTGCCCCCGTTCCTCCTTCCTCCCTCCCTTCCATCCCTCCCATACTCCTCCGTTCCCTTGCCTCCCTCATCCTCCATGCTCCTCCTTCCACTTTTCCTCCTCCCGCCTCCCTTACCCCGCCTTCCCTCGTCTTCTCATTCCCCGCGCGCGACGCGAAGTGAAGCTGCGCGCGCGGTGCGGCAGGGCCTCTTCCGGCTCCTCCTCCTTCACCTCCTCCACCTTGGCGGGTGCCTGTCGCAGAGAGGGGGAGAGGGAGAAGAGAAGTAGAAAGAGGGGTAGGGAGAGAGGGATTGCGAGAGAGAGAGAGCGAGAGAGAAAGGGAGAGACACAGAGAGACAGCGAGGAATAGACAGAGAGAAGCACAGAAAGCTACAGACCCCTGCGTGCCGACGACTGCGTGGGCGCATGGTACCCGCCCCTGCGGTCCTCGCGTGGACTCAGGCCGCTGCCGTCGGCGAAGTAAACCCCGCCTCTCCATTGGATCCTGCTGCGTTGGTCTCCTCGATAGTGTCGACCACGTTGAATTTGTGCGGTGGCTGGTCCTCCTCCGCGGGCTCCTCTGGTGCTGGTCTCGTTGTGCCCTTCTGCTGCTGTTTGAACGAGTCGAGTGACTTGACCTGGCCGGGCATGGAACCTGCTGCCGCTTGCCAGACTGGTGGGGAGCTGCGCTGCTGACCTGACAATGCTCTGCACGCTTTGAGTTCCGCCTCCGTCAGGTCTGGCAAGTGATCTGGGCCGAGCTATCCCGCGCGAGCTGCCTGGGCAGCCTGCTGCTGCAAGGCCGGCACACGATGAGCTGCCCCCACTGCTGCTCGAGCTGAAGCTGGAGAGGCCTTCTAGGATGATCCCGAGGCTGATGCAGTAGCTGAAGTTGCTGCCGAAATAGAAGCCAACGATATCTGAATGGTCGCCAATGCCTGTGTCAACTGGGCCATTTGTGCTGTCAGTTGAATCTGCCCCGTCTGAAGTTCGGCAATGACCTGTGGCATGGCTGGGGCTGAGCTGGTGGCCGTCATGACGCTGCCGCTGCCAGGGGTGGAAGCTGATGCTGGGCCTGGCTCGATCTGCATAGCCTCTGGCCGTTGGTTTCGGCTGGTGAACCGCACGATGCGCGGGGTACCAGGCGCGGATGGTGGAGCTGATGATGCACGTTGGGCTGCCGATGCTGCTGCAGCTGCTGCTACTTCGGCTTGCTGCTCCTCCTGAGATTGTAACAGCCTGAAGTGTCCGAGCAAGAGGGTGGCCTGCTCCGCGTCGCGTTGCAGGGTGGCACGAGCGGCAGCCGCGCGAGCCAGCGTGATCTTGGCCTCCTCCTCGGCTGTCTTGGTTTCCGTAAGACGCTTCAGGGCCCGCTCCAGGTACTTCTCCTGGTTGGCCACTCGGTCTCGCGGCGCGTAGGCGTGGATGTGCATGTACAAATAGACACTGTACTCGGTCTCGATGGGGCGGAGCATCTCTGCTGAGGCTGTAAGAGCCTTCCTGCTGGACAACTGGGCCTCCAAGGCTGACAAAGTCGACTTGATCTGGGACCTGTAGGCTGCCAGCTCCTTGGTCCCGCTCGGTGGGTCTACCCAGCACGAATTTTGGCGGGCGTCTGCGGGGGAAGCTGGGATCAGTCCGTGCGAAGTGGACACTGGAGACGAAGACTGACTCTTAGCTGGAGCTGGCTGTTCCGAAGAAGCCCGTGAGCCAGTTCCCGTAGTAGGTGCTGGTGTCGATTGACCCCGATGCCCTTCTGACTGTCTGGGTCTGGATCTTCCTCTGGAACGGCCATGGCTGCGCTGCGGGGCTGGATAACAATGCACACACCATCGCGATTACTGCCAGTTGACGGCGTTGCACGCTCCGCAACGCCGTGTGTCGGGGCCTGCAGAACGCCACGGTGGATCTGGGTCGCTGGGCATGCTGCTGCAGCTGTGGTGCTGCTGCAGGAGAGCTTGGGCGGTCTGCACTCGCAACAGGGTCCTGGCCTGGCTGCGAGCCGCCCTGGCTCTCCTGTGGAGGGAGGGAGGAGGAGGAGGAGGAGGAGGAGGAGGAGGAGGAGGAGGAGGAGGAGGGTGAGGGAGGGAGGAGGGAGGGAGGAGGAGGAGGAGGAGGAGGAGAGGGGGAGGGAGGGGAGGAGGGAGGGAGGGGGGAGGAGGGCCAGCTGGCTCGGGCGGTCGTCGGGGCGCCCCGCGGCGAGGGCGGCGCCCTCGCGTCGCCGCCGGGGCGCAGGGCTGCGCCGAGGCGGCGCCCTCGCCGCCAGGAGCGCGGCGCCGAGGCGGAACACTGCCGGCCCGCGGCGCCCCCGCCGCGGCCCGGCGCCCCCCCGCGCGGCCTCGGCGCGGCGGCCTCGGCGGTCGGCGGTCGGCAGCGCCCTCGCCGCTGAGGCTGCGCCAAGGGAGCGCGGCGCCGAGGCGGAACACTGCCGGTCCGCGGCCAGTGGCGGCGGCAGCGGGCCTGCGCGTCGCCGATGTCCCGAGGGGTGCGCAGCTACGGGGCAGCTGCACCCAGGGCCCCCAAGCCGGGACGGCGGCTGCCGAGGAAGGAGGGAGGAGGGAGGAGGAGGAGCAGGAGGTGGAGGAGGAGGAGGAGGAGGGGGGGAGGAAAAGAGAAGAAGGGGAGGGAGGAAGAGAGGGACCCGTGTCCAGGTCGTGCCGGTGTAACGGGCCGACTGGGCGCGCCGAAAAGGCACCCTGCAGCCTGGGGTCTTGCGCGACCCGCGGCGCCCAGGGCCACGCCGACGCACGGCGCTGGCGCGATTCGGCGCTGGAGGTCGGCCACACGCAAGAGGGGCCCCAGGCAGCAGTGACCTTCGGTGAGCGGTTTCCCAATTAGGAAGGCACCAACTATACACCAACACCGATCCTGGCCAGGATCGCCCTGGGCCCAGGATCGGTGTATACGCCCTCCTGCCTTGGGCAAGAAGGCATATACACCGATCATGGGCCCAGGGTGATCCTGGGCCAGGATCGGTGTTGGTGTATAGTTGGTGCCCTCCGACCAATGGCGGGATGGGGGAGCCACCCCCAGGCGCGCCAGCCGCCGCCATCGCATCGCACTCAGCGACTTTCGGCGATTGGAGGGCCCCAGAGGGCCCGCACCCAGGGTCACTCCGGCGAAGGGTCACTCCCACGTGGAGACGAAGAGGAAGGAGGAGGAGGGCTAGTTCCTGGAGAGGAGCCGCCTCAACCCGGCTTGCCAGTCCGACCGGCCCGAGTGCGGCCATCCAGCTCCGAAGGGAGGGACGGGAGGAGGAGGCAAGGAGGGTGGGCCAAGGCTGAAGGGGAACATTGATGCGCGGAGAAACGTCCCCATCCGACAAGTGGTGGACACGCCTCCCCCTCCCGCCCCCGCGGGGGGAGAGGAAGGACGCCCACAGTAACCCCAAAATCCGTGCGAACTGACCTCCCCAGAGCTCGGCGAGACGAGAAAGGAAGAGACCTCCCGCCAGCACTGGGGCACAGGCAACAAGGAGGCTGACTCGACCAGGACGGCATCAGGCCACGCTGCGGACCAAGACGGCCCCAGGCCGTCCTGGTCAGAAGGCCAACGGCTCAGGCGGTGAACACGCACACCCGGGTCACCCAGGCGGAGGAGGCTGGCCGAACCCCTGGCCCGAGGCTCACTACTGACCACCTCCCTCTGTCCCCCGGCATTGGTCACGACCACGAGCTCCTCAAGGGAGTCAAGACTAAGGCCCCTCAGCTGGACAGAAACAGCGACACCAAGCTGCCGCCGAGGACGTCGGCAGGGAGAGCAC